AAGTGGTTACAACACAAATTGGGTGACTAATTGTGGTACCATATCATCGGCCCCTTCGATAAAGTCTCTCCAAATATTTTCAACAGAACAGATTCAATTTTATCATCTTCTAAGGAATTTCCTTTTATTGCACATGTATAAGAAGTGACATGCTCATTAGGATCAGTGGTTCCAATGTACTTGGAAATTTCTAGCATGCGGAATTTCTTCAAAATGGGCTTTGGAGCTGCACTTGGTGGGAAGGGCTTCTGAACGAACTTCTTCGAATCTAAAACCTTTAGAATCGGAGGTTCCCCCAGTATTTGATCAACCCGTGAGTTGTATGTTTCTACCTTTTATCATTAGCCTCAATTTTCTTTTCTCCTGATTCAATCAGTTTAGATAGCTCCTCGAGCATCTTCATGATGGCGAGGTCAGTTCCCGATCCATTATCCTTCAATTTCTCCTGTACATGTTTGACCCTATGAACAATTTCCTGTGATGTATCAAATTCGATTTTGCCTGGTGCTCGATTCTGATTTTGGAGTTGCGCCATCACAGCTTGCTAAGCTTGTAACATTTCAAATATCATTCAAAGGCTAATCCCGCCTTCTTCACCACTCTACGTGTTTTGATCGGCTGCCTGGGCATCTCTACGGACGCTATTTTCAGGGTCGGCACCTAAATTTCCATGAATCATAACACAAGAATTGACATCGGCTAGATCTATGGCCTGTGGTTCATCGGGATTGATTGGAGGTACTCCACTTTCCGGGGCGATTATGTGCTCGTTCTTTCCATGAAGACCAAGGCTGGTGTCTGTGTGAGTGGGAACTACTTGAGAGTTTGACATGTTGATTCCTAACATCAAAGACACTTACAAGAAAAAAGTGTAATAGTAGCGTGTGTTATGAGGATTAATACTAGGCAATTACTATTATCCTTAGCCCCACGGTGGGCGCCAAACTGTTTACCCTAAAATTGGATAACAATTAAACTTATAATGTAATTTTAAGGATATGTGATTTCACCTAATACAATTAATAAACGTAAAGATAAGTGATGCAAATTAACAATAATATAAAGTAAACCAGCGTTTGGACAAAGCCCTCGAGCTCGGACACCCTCTAGCTAGTTATGCAAGAATAGTTAAAGTCACAATAAGCTAATGAACAAGAAAGCAAATTGAGAAATATTATATTGCTTTGATATTCGTGAATGTAAGGTGTCTACAAATGATGGGGACTCCTCTTTATATACTATAGGACTCCTAATAATGGTATAACTTTAATTACAGAAGTAAATTCCATGATTAGCCTAAACAACCGCCCTTGATCTGATATGTTCCGGGATTTCTGTCGTGATCTTCGACCGGTTACGGATATATCGCATTTCCGTTATTGCGCTTCGTTTGAAGTCTGTCATATATGGTCTCGATCGTTATTGACCTCGATCTCGACGAGCACCTCGAGTCTTGAGCTCGGCACCTTATCTTCGTGCTCTGACATGATCCATTGCGAGGTTAACCCTCGACTTGATTCCTCAGTCTTCGATTAATTGGCAAAATCGGACAAGTCCTATTTTAACCATATATAAGCACTAACTATCACAAGTAACTGAGGCAACTAATGCATCAACTAAGTGTAGGTAAGATATTTACCTCAAGCAAGCCAAATCAGTACTCTAGAAAGCCCTTCCCGCGTGAATCAACCTCCGACAGGCTCGAATCTAGCCGAAATAACTTAAGATCATCAATAAGAGCTAGAGTAAACAATTCCAAATAATAAAGCTAAGATTTTGAATCAATTATGCAAAGTCAAACCAAAAGTCAACTCTGGGCTCGCACCCCGGAACCCGACAAAACTCACAAATTCTGAACATCCATTCCGATATGAGTCCAAATATATGTGTTTCATCCAATTCCAACATCAAATCTTCAATTCTCACTCTTTAAAATTATAGTCTAAGAACTCCCAAATCCCACCTTTAATCCATACAATTAGGTGTAATAATCTATAGGTAAATGATACCAAATCAAGTAAGGATCACTTACCCCTTCAATTATGATGAAAGTCCACCAAAAATCGCCTCCAACCGAGCTCCACAACTTCAAAAAAGATAAAAATGACCAAACCCTAGATATTAATCATGCTCAGTTAATCCGCATTTGCGGTCACTTAACCACTTTTGTGGGGCCGCTTCTGCGGTAAATGGCCGCATCTACGATCCCCACAAAGTACCCGACCTCTCGCTTATGCAATTTACCAAGCGCACATGTGTTTCCGCTTCGACGTCCTATTTGTCGCACTTGTTATCCTATACCTCCAGCCTAAATCTTACACCTGCGCAACAATGGCTGCATGTGCGGATCCGCATGTGCGGCCAAACCCGCCGTAGATGTGAAAACACCAAAAGCCAAGAATCTTTAGCAATGCAACCAAGTCCAAAAAAGATCCAGAATCAATCCAGAATACACCCGAGCCCCTGGGACCCACTCCAATCACACCAACTAATTCCAAAACATAACCCGGATCTACTTGGGGTCTCAAATCACACAACACAACATCAAAACTACGAATCGCGCCCCCAATTCAAGCCTAAGAGACTAATGAACTTTTAACTTTCAAAACTCTTGCCAAACCATATCAAATCAACTCGTAATGACCTCAAATTTTGCGTGCAAGTTCCAAATACACAATGTACCTATCCCAACTCCTGGAACCAAATTCCAAACCCGATATCAGCTAAGTCAACTCTCGATCAAACTTATCAATCTTCCAAACCTTCAACCTTCCAGCTTTTGCCAATTCAAATCAAAATGACATAGGAACCTCCAAATCCAATTCTGGTGTCAAAATACGAAGTTATTGGAAGAACTAGCAAAATAGTATTCTGATGTCATCTACACAAAAGTTAAACTCCGATTAACTCTTATAACTTAAACATCCAACATTGGGAACAAGTGTCCTAATTCAATCCAAAACATCCCCGAAATCATACCTACCACCCCGACAAGTCATGTAGTCACAATTACACATATGTAAAGCATCAAATAAAGTAGATGGGACTAAAATACTCAAACAACCGGCCGGGTAATTACAAATTGTCCAACGAGGTTTCGAGGAAGAAGACCGAATGTGTCTTTCGATTTCGTGAGTATTGGATCAAATTATTGTCTGGGTTTGTTCGGATTGTTGCAGGGATTTTGTGGATGAATTTGAATCCATTTCGGCAAGTTGCAGCTGGGTTTGGATTGAACTATTGAATTAGTCGAAGAGCTCACTAAAGATCGAAAAACTTGGAGATTACAAGCTGTAACATCTCAAATTGAGCTGCTGAATTGAACTTGGTTGAAATCAAAGTTTGTGCTGCCATCGAAGAAGAACAATTCCCGTCATCAGTCGCGAACGTGAACTTCATCAGGTTGTTCTGAGAAATTCCTAGATTCTTCTACGTTGCTAATAATTTTTGTAATTTGATTAGTTGGGTTGTTGAAGAACTTTTGATCGAAGTTCTGGGAGGCTAGCTCGACGAGTTCACTCTGAACGAAGAACATTTGTCTCTAATGAAAAAAAAATCCAAGAACCCCAATTTGGATTTCTTTGAGTTTAAATTTTGAGCAGCCAACTATGATTCCTTGAGTTCAAGTACTGAGTTGCAGATTGGCATTCATTTGAGCTACTATTTCCTAGTCGTATGCTTTGGGAGATAATCACTGCCGAGTCTCGACGAATGGAAGAACAACCTGCAAATTTTCTTGGCACTGTCCATTTTTCTTCGAGTGTTAATTGCTGAGGTCTGTGAAGTTTGTAAAGAATTGATCGAGTGACTGTGTGCACAATCGTCGGTCCAACTGGTTCAGAATTGAGTAGAAGAACAAGTATGCCAACGCAAAAATCTGAAGATTTTCGCCGACTGATTTAAATCAATTCGAGCAGCTAGAAAATTGAAGAAGAACACTTGTATGATCTGATGCTTTTGAGATCCTACTCCATGCTTGCAATTCATTCGTTGCAATGATTCAGGTTTAATTGTCCTAAGCTTAAACTTAGCTTGTGACTGATATTTATTGCTCTGTTCCCTTGAAACCAAATTGAATTGGTGTAATTCGGAGCTGATATAACATGTTGTACATGTTGAGAGAATTGTTTGGTTGAAAATTAGATGAACTAATAGCTATTAAAATTCATCGAACCTAATGCTGCAACATCCAGACTAAATTAAGTGTCGGCAACACGACGAGAGTCATGCCAAAGCACTGGGCAGTCCCCGTCACAAATTCTGCTGCTGTGAAATTTTACCACTCTATAATGCTCTTCTTTGTAAATGCTGATATTGGCTGAAGACGTTGGAGAATCCCCATCCTACACAATTTCAGGGAAGGCAACAACATAGCGCATGATCTGGCGCAACAGGGAATTCAGCAAGTCAACGTCTATCATAACCTGGCGCAACAGGGAATTCAGCAAGCCAACGTCTATCATAACCAGATATATCTAGAAGTACCTGACTACCTTAACGAAGCTGTGCGAGCTGATAAAAAAGGAATCACTGTTACTAGAACTACCACCACTAATACTTGTGTGTTAAATAATTTGACTATGCTGGGCAACCTTGTAATGTTCTCTTTTGGTTGTAATGCTACTTCTAATGATATGCCTTCGTCTGCTTCTGATGGGAGGACCAGACCATGTAACTATGCTACTTAGTATGGAATAAAAGTTTATCTTGCTTGCCAAAAAAAACAAGAGAGTGCCCCACATAGGACAACCGATCTCTCTCTATTCCCTTTTCAATGGATTTTTTTTCTCTCGAATAAATTGAAAATATCAGCTTTCGGCGCCTTCCGTAAATGATGTTAAGCTGTTCTTGTCCGTAATTCGTGATTCATCATTTCTCTCAGCGCCATGAAAGTCAATTTTCACAGACCAAATAGTCAAGGTATCATTCCCAATGCCTTTAGGTGAAAAGAAAATTCAATATATATGGGAAAAAAAATTTAATTTTTTTTTAAAATTAAATTTTCACAACATGAAAAATCTTAATTAGTTAGTCCCAATATCCAATCTTTTCATGTTTTACAAACTCAATACAGAACTAAAATCACACAATAGAAGTTTCACATATTTCACTAGCTATTATTCTAATACATCAAACTTAAATAACCCGCTTGCATTTTAAATACTAATGCAAAAAATCCTTAGATAGTATACATTACATATGATGAGGCTAATTCTGAATTCACCTACTCAAAACCCTAAATCGGTCTCTTTTAATTAATTCAGCTTAAGTATCGGCATAACCTTGCTTGTACTTGCGGAATATTTCTTCAGTTTTGGCATTTCTAAAAGCACAGCACCCAATTAAATAAACCCAAATCAATCCAACAAGAGTTATCAGCAGAATTATATCTGCCCTCCTCCATTCTTTCTTCAAATTAGCTAACAATCCAGCTTTGCAAGAATCACAAGAGTAGCAAAGTTGTGTTTGATCATTGTTCCATTGCAAGCAATCCATATCTGCAACATTGTTTATAGGGCTAATCCAATATGTTGGGTTCACAAATGTGTACCCACATTGTGTTGGTGGCTTACAGCACCCTGACTGCAAAAAGAGAAAATACGTGAAGAATGCCTAAAAGGAATTTAGTTCCAAGGCATATTACCACATGGAAAAGGAAGAAGATTCTTGTGTCTTTTAAGTAAAACTTGCTTGCTTTTGTTAATTCTTGTCTATTCTTTATGTATACTAGTTTGATGTTGGAATCACTCCAGGTATAATCACAGTTGAGAAGGTTTTTCCTTTAAGGAAAGAAAGCTTCCCTTTAATTATAAGAATTTACAATGCTTTCCTTAATACAAGGAAAACGACAACTTCAACTACACTTCCACACAAATCAATTTGTCGCCGACTTTGTAAATCCTTACTTTGATGCTATTAAGGTCCACACCTAAACTCTGAACAAAATATGATTACAAAATATTAATTTTACTAGCCAGCATTAGAATTTTTATTTTTATATTTTCTACTCGCATATAAATTTTTAACTAACAGAATAGAACCCTCCTAGCAAATAATATTGGACTTAAAATAAACATACTAGCATGACTAATTAATTTAGAATACGGAGCTACTACCTACTTTATTTTTCAATCAATTCTAAGGGAGCAAAGCTAGGAAACAAATATTAAATCTCCATAAGAAAAAAATAAAACTGTTTCCATTTTCCTTTTTATATTAAACCAAGAAATCTCATGTGCTACCTTTTATATGAGTTTGAAAAATCAGAAAAGCATGAATTCATTCAAGAAAAACTTACCTGCAAAGGGCTAAGAGGAGCATTAAAGAAATCTTGAGCCATGCGATAACTTTGATTCAACTGAGCACACATTGTTGTGGAGCTAAGGCAACTTCTTATTCTATCCCATTTGTAAGAAGTTTGAACTCTCCTTCTAATCCAGCCCGAATAGTCATCAAGATGGTATTCCAAATAAGCCCTACTTGGTTCCATATGGCCTGAACCTCTAATAGTGACCATGTAAATAAAAACTACCAAACATGCAAGCAAAACTATGAGAATGAGCATAGCAATGAGGTAGAAAATGAGCAGTGCTGGAATCCTCCAAAACCCTCCAATAAAACCAGCAAGAGCGACAACTAAAATGACAACTCCTAAGATAATAACTGGCCATTGTAGAATCTTGACACAAGAGTTGTCAGTCTCCATTGCTAGCCAAATTCCAGCACCAATCACTGGAATTGACAATAGCATGGCTACAAAGTTGATGCACCCTATGACATTATTACTTAATGCCATTTTCTTTCTTGCTTGTTTTTTTCGTTCTCTAAAGATTTTGAGAAAGGAATTTGAAAGATTGGGAGAGATGGATACTGTAGAAGATAAGAGAACTTGATATCTAGGGTAAGTTACTTTTTGTTCCTTACCTTGGATTAATGAAATTAGTAATGGTTTTTATAATAAAGAAGGGGTAATTTAATCTTTTTGGGTCCAAATGTCTCAATCACTTTAGTGCTACTTTTTCAAAAGGGGTACAGGTTGTAAAGAAAACAAAAGTGAAGGAAAAGAAGAACTCGTACAGTGCATAGGATGTCCCCACATTTCTAATATTCCAAGGTTGCATCTACACTAAGATTCTTTAATTTGCCTTTAATTTCTTTTTTCATTTATTTTAATTTATTTTCTCCGGAGGAGAGCTATTTTGCAAAAGAAGTAGGAACATATTGTTGGAAAATTAGTGATATCTCAAAAAATAATGTGTTTGAACTATTTTTTCTGATATTTGAAGTATTATTTACATCTACTTGTTATTTAGTAAATTATTTTACATTTAATAGAATCAAGCTAGCTGTCATCTAGCCGTTACGTAGCCGTTGGAGCAACTCCTAGATAAACATGGTCTTTGGAGAGCTAAAGACATACTTTCTAATACAACTTTTCGAATCATCTTTTCCTCTTATATGTTGGATTTCTTTCTTGAGTTTTCTGCTAGTTATGTTCCTAGTTTAAAAACTGGAAGAGCTTGTTGAATCTTAGGGGGTACGCCTAATTTCATTTATCACTGTATGAGCGAAATATCCTTAAGGACAATAAATTTGACACGTCCTTGACACGCCTCTAAAAATAAGATGCCACAAAAGAAAATCTCTGTCATATTTAAGCCTACAATTATCAAAAAGGGAAGTAGGAAAATGAGCCAACCTTTTATAAACACTAGTGTAAGGCAGGATACTATGAAAACAATTATGGAGGAAAGTTTGAATCTTGTTGTAGAGGTACATTAGAGTGTTGAAGGTGCAAGAAAAAAATTAAAAGAGGTTGAGACATCAACCAAAAACACAATCGGGGCCAATACAAATGAGGCAATCCAGGACACGGAGAGTGTTAACAAGGGGGAACAAGCTGATAATGAAAACCAGGAGGCACGAGATACTATTTCTGATTCTAGTAGCCTGCCATCAGAAGTTAAAAATCACCCTGGTATTAATCTTGTGGTTCATTCGGAGGGTGACACATTAGAAAAAAAGAAAATAGGATCATCTGCCGACATTGATAATGGGAACAATGATCAACATGTTACAGTTTAGTCAATAAGTTGTGAGCATACATTCAACAGGCAACCAGATGATCCAGCTCATACTCACATGAGAGAGGTAGTTAACAAAGAAGGAATATTTCCTACAGAAAGAGGCAGAAGCAGAACTAGGAAAACAGAAAAAAATGACAAGAACAAAAATAATCCTTTCTTGAGGGGAAGGAGTCAAAATTGATCATTTTCTATATTATTCCATGATTAATACAATCATATAGAATATAAGAGGAGTGAGATCACAAAAAGCCATTCGCAGGCTCAAAAATCTTTGTATTATCAACAAAACTAATTTCGCAGCTATTATGGAACCTTTCTCTAATAAAGACAAGATTCAAGGTTACATGAGATTCCTGGGATTTCATCACTGTCAAGCGAACATAAATGGACAAATTTGGTGTTTCTGGAAACAAAATTGTCAAGCTAAGGAAGATCAACAAATTACTCTGCAAATCAAACATGATATGATTGATAATGAATTATGTTACTCTGTGGTTTATGCAAAATGTACAGCTACGGAGAGGAAAGACCTATGGAGTAGTCTGGAAAATATATATCCTTTGGTTAATGGTCCATGGTGTGTTGGAGGGGATTTTAATATCATCATAGATCCAGATGAAAAATTAGGTGGTATGCCTCATAGATTATACAAAAGCTTTGATTTCATTAGTTGAATGGAGAATTGTGAATTGGTTGATCTGGGGTTTCTAGGCCCGAAATACACATGGTGCAATAATTGGAGATCAAGTAAAAGGGTGTGGAAGAGACTAGATAGAATTTTCATCAATGATCAATGGGCCCAAACTTTACAAACCAACATTGTCAGGCATTTGACTAGAACTGGATCTGACATAGGCCATTGTTGATGAATAATAGTAATAACAATGTTCACACTATTANGCGGCGTGCAACCCGATCCATAAATACATAATCCTCACAACCAGGACTTTGGCCTCTCTTAGTCATCAACCTCACAATCAGGCCCTCGGCCTCTCTCTCAGTCATCAACCTTACAAGCCACTTAGGCTATCAGTAAAACAGGGTGCTCAGCCCAAAATATTATTTTTATGCATCAAAGGAATAATAAATACTGAGTTATGAAATCAATAAAGACATAACATGAATTAGTGCAGGTCTTAAGTCAAAACAGTGAGGAAATAATAAGAAAAAGCCCTTAAGGGTCCAAACAACTTGGCACGAGGCCCAAATATGGCATTAAGCCCAAAAAAATAGTAATATTTTTCAAAAGACAAGTGTATCAAATAGTTTTCAGGCAAATACACAACTTAAAAGTTGCTACAAGATGGACCAAGTCACAATCCCGAATGGTCCATGCCCCCACGCTTGTCATCTAGCGTGTGCATTACCTCAATATAGTGAAACAAAGTAAAATCTGGGGTTTCATAACCTCTGAACAAGATTTACAATCATCACTTACCTTAAATCGGATGAACATCTACCCCGCGATGCTCTTGCCGCTCGACTCGGCCTCAAATAACCCCGAATCTATCCAAAATCAAAAACATATCATCAATACATGCCAAAGGGACAAAGCCCACACGAATATTATCAAATTAAACTCAAAATCCCAAAATTGGCCAAACCCGACCCCCGAGCCCATGTCTCGGAGTTTGATAAAAATCACAACACTAGAATCCTTATCCATCCACGAGTCTATACATACCAAGATCATCAAAATCAGACCTCAAATGGCCTCTCAAATCCCCAATTTAGCTCTCTAATTTCAAGCCCTAATTTCCCAATTTCTTCTCTAATTTTCCAACTAGTTTCATGATTAAACAATGGAATAATCACTATAAACACAAGATACAAAGCCCAAGTAGCTCACCTCTCGGGAAACACTTGATTCCCTCTTGAAGTCACAGCTTGGAGCTCCAAAATCGACCAAAAATGGTGGAAGAATGACCAAAATTCACGAAGTCCACAATATATACTTTCTGCCCAGAGGTACCGCATCTGCGGTCAAAATGTCGCTTCTGCGACACCTCACCTGCGAAAATCCATCGCAGGTGCGGTTCCCACTTATGCCCTCTGAAACCGCTTCTGCGATCACAATACCGCACTTGCGGTCTCGCAGGTGCGCTCCACTATCCGCACCTGCGCCTCCGGCCTCAACTTTTTAATGTCCCGCATCCGTGATTCATCTTCCACATATGCGATCATCGCAACTGTGGTTCCCTCTCCGCAGGTGTAGAAATATTAGAAGTAGCAACTTCAGCTGCCTTATTCCTCATCCAAGCTCTCCGTTAACCATCCGAAATCATCCCAAGTAATAATATGAACAAGTCACATATCACCATTCAAACTTATTCCAACCTTCAAACACTCAAAACAATATCAAAACATTAAATCACCCTCGAATTCAAGCCTAAGGATTTCCAAACTTCCGAATTTCGCAAACGATGCCAAAACCTATCAAACCTCGTTCGAAAAACCTGAAATTTTGCATACACATCACAAATGACACAACAAACCTACTCCAATTTCTGGAATCCCATTCCGACCCCCATATCAAAATTTCCACTACCGACCAGAAAACACCAAATTTTTAATTTCACCAATTCAAGCCTAAGTCTACCACGGACCTCCAAAATACATTCCGAACATGCTCTTAAGTCCAAAATCACCCAACGGAGCTAACCAAATCATAAAAATTCAAATCTGATATCGAATACTAAGAAGTCAAGAATTGGTCAAACCTTTCAAATTTAAAGCTTCAAGCTAAGAATTATTCTTCCATATCTATTCCTATTAACCTAAAAACCACACCCGACGATTTACATAAGTCATAATACATCATACGGGGCTAGTCATGCCCGAGAACTGGTGAGCAAAGTACAAATGCGTCACGACCCAAATCGGAGAGCCGTAACGGGCACCCAATGCCTTACCCAACCGAGTACCAACGAAACATATCTTTCTTATCATACTATCATAGGTAAATGGGTCGGAAGGGCCGTCATGATATAATCAGAATAAAACATAAGGGAACACTTGACATAGGACGACCCAACATGTAATACAACTTATACATGTTACATACGGTCCTATAAGACCAAAATGAACACTCGTACTGTGAACATAGGCCGACATTGCCATACAATCTTACATATACATGATATCTGTCTACAAGCCTCTAAGAGTACATACACATCATAAAGGTCGGGACAATGCCCCGCCTTACCAATCAATACATGTCCAAATCATATTGACCAAATAGGCAACTCCGAAGCAAGTGGAGTGTACCAACACCTTCTGCAGAGCAGATAGCCAACTAGAAGGACTGTCAATGTAACGACCCGACTGGTCATTTTGCTTTCTAGAACCTTGTTCCCTTAAATAAAACTTGCCACAATTGCTTTGACTAATTTACAACCTGCGGGGATGGTTGGTTCGGGATTTGGAAGAGTTTAGGTTGAAATATGCTCATTTGACTCCTTAGGATTTTCTTAAAAGACTAAGTTTGACTTTGGTCAACATTTTTAGCAAACAGATCCGGATTCGTATTTTTACGGTCCCGGAGGGTCCGTAGGAAAATATGGGACCTAGGAGTATGCCCGAAATTGAATTCCGAGGTCCCTAGCCCGAGTAATAAATTTTTATTAGAAATTGTTAAACTGAAATTCTAAGGATTTAAAGAAAACTAATTAATGATTGATTCCATTGGTATCCGGATCGTATGTTGGTTCTATAGCCCAAAACAGGTCCGATATATCATTTAAGACTTGCCCGCAAAATTTGGTGTCAATCCGAGTAGTTTTAGGGCGTTTCGGCTCGTTAGAGGAAAATTAAGAACTTGAAGTTCATAAGTTTGATTCATTTGGTTTTA